TAAACATGCTTGTAGTACCATAATTTATTTTGCTAAGATAAATGTAAACCCAAATGTTTGTCTCACTAGGCATGATGAATTAAATGTGGATTTTACCTGTTTCTAGAAGTGTTTAGGACGTACATTGTCCTACAAGCTACCTTACCTATTCACCACCTTAAACCACAAAGACGTTGACCCTTTGTCTTTTCTTTTGCCATTGAGGACTTCCTATTAATCTATTTAAATATTGCAAGAAACGTCGCTACGATTGACTGTTTTGCGCATTCTTTAAATAATTCTTATTACTGTATTGTATCTTTTACTCTGATGTCTCTGTGTATCAGTGTATAGTTTTGATCCTGATGATTTCTGACACTTCATTATAATATTATGTGTAATTAATTTCTTACGATTAATTCCCAACTATAGTGCTGTAGATATACGTAATTTCAAATAATCAAAATCGCCACATTAGGTGCTTCGCCCAGCTAATTCACTTTCCCGAATAGTAGATGTCCCGGAATTTTCGTCACTCTACTTATTGACTTTTGCTTTGCATGTTTATGCCAAGTCATGAAACATATGTATTCCCTCGCTCTCTATTTGTGGAGCTTTGTTTCGTAATTTTTGTATTCGTACTTGGTGTCATTTTATACTTGTAAAGTTATTTTTTTATTCTATATGTATGAATATGTCGTGTATTGCTGCTTTGCCAACTTGTGATGGGGTCGGTACTTTGTCAATCCCTTGAGCATTTAGTCCCGTGCTCCTCGACCTATTGAAAGAAAAGAAATAAAGTCTTTTACCAAAACAACTATAGTTAATTTATGTGAATTAAACAAGCAAATTTTGCACAAGATGCCGGACGGAGAACACAGTGGCCTAATGTGCACCGGAGAGTTGCATGTGATGGCTTATAACAACGTGGTGCATGTTAAACCCATTTCTCATTGTCACAGAAAGCCAAAATATTTCACCGTCAACCCTCTCCGCAAAAATACGATCACTGACCTAAAAATAATTACAGTAATTCTGACAGCCTACATCTGCTAGCAGACCATAATCGCAGGTATTTGCAGTGTAAAATATTTACAGTGTAAATAATTTTTGCCCTTTTAACCTACACAGGGCCCGCTAAAATTGCAACTGTTTATGCAAACGTGAGCCTTGCTTTTCCGGGTACTGCAAACTTAATGGTCCGCAACCTGTACTATCAGCAGAAGCAAATTTTATTTTGGAAACATAACTGACAAATAGCGCTACCGTGTTGCAAGAACGACTTGCTGACAACTACAACTCGCACAATTTAAGCAGCAGCTCCATTTCTACATGTTTAATGAGTGCGTCAAATACTAATTGCCGAAGTAATGCACTATACCAGCAACGGTGTTACTTATAATGTGTAACCACCAACACTGCGAAACAAGGCGGGCGTTCTTGCACTCATCACGATTATTACGAAATACCCGATTTCTCACAGCGTAGCTTGCCACATAATATGCAGGGTGACCATCCGCCGCTCAGCGGTGTACGATTCATGGGTGACAGACACTGCTAGTGAATCAGATGGAAGTCTTTCGTAGTCTTCCTCATTTTATTCCATCTCACGCAGCATTTTTTCCACAGACAGAATGACTCCTCCACTAACTGATCCACATTCCCACCCTTGGGACTCTTCAATAGGCTGAATTGAAGCATTAAGTTTTGCGGACAAGCATAATGCAGCGACACTGGATCTACTTTTTTTTGTCGTTGACACCTTCAGGCATTTCAGAGTAACCCAGCGCAATCACCGATTGACGAAGTACTTGTAAAGCAGCTACCGCATATGAAAAAAAAAAGCAGCACACCCGAAAAAAACTCTGCGAAGTATGCCGCTCACTACCCAGACCACTGCCATCAGCGCCCCTAGCGGCATCGGCACACCGAAGGGCCTTTTCCGGCAAGCAAAAAGCGCCACGCTCATCACACTTCTCCATTCTAGCCACGCCAACGCAAGCACAGCCGCGAAAAAAAAAAAAAAAAAAGCGCATGGTCTCTGAGACGGTGGGCATGCGGCGTAAAAACAAACGTTGGTAGAAGCACGCCACATGCCTGCCATCTCAGAGACCATGCAAAGCACAACCGCATCGATGGCGCGTTGTGTGCATGCAACGTCTGTGCGCCTCCATACGCCATTGCGGGTTAGGGGCAAAGCTCTTTAGGCCGTGGGTTATTTCCTCGTCCTCCTCGTCTGTAGTAGTAGTAGTAGTAGTAGTAGTAGTAGTAGTAGTAGTAGTAGTAGTAGTAGTAGTAGTAGTAATAAAATAGTATGTTCCTCTAGTGTACGAGTTGCTGAATATATGGCGTTGTGTGTATGTGTCCTTCATAATAATATAACTAGATGGTGGTCAGCGGCCCACGCCAATGATATTCCAGACTAAGTATCCCACTCACTCATTTACTCACGCAGAAAATCTTAATAAACGTTTTATTCTCTCTCTCTCCACGGAGTGAATGATGATGAGTGAAGCAAAGCATCTTTCCGTGCTTCCGTCTGTTCGTGCTTCTGTCCGTCCATCCGTCCGACAGAAGCATGGACGGAGGCGTCGCCCCACTACTCATCATTCACTTGGTGGATATGCTGTGGATTTTTTTTTTTTTTTTGTCGAGTTTGTCACAGTGAACTCAGTTGGGGGACATCTGCTGCGCGGGGCGTGTTCGGCTGGTATGCTGTCGGCTGGTTTTAAACTTAAAAGTTAGTCGAGCATGGGAACCGACCGCATGGATGACACTTCAGCATCGATTCATGGCTGTTCATTACAGAAGAAAGCAAGAACTTCGGGTTACAAAAACGATTCGCCGCGCATTTCGCGGACCAAGACAAGCAAAACCGACACGTGAAATTTTCACTGTTATAACTCCTGTGACTTTTTTTTTCCTACATAATGAACCCTCTCCCCAAATTGCATCAACATTTCTGAAGAAAAGCTGGGTTCATTACGCGAGTAAATGCAATATATAGCCCATGATAGAGGTGACTGTAAATCAGTGATTTTGGAAAAGTCTGTGTATCTTTAAAAGGCATCAGGTTACCGATTGCTTTTTATCTAAGTTTATGAATGGCAGCACCATGCCCCCTGCCTTGATTGTAGGATTGTAGAATTTCCTTGTAAAGTACCATGTGGTCCTTCTTTGAACAGTGTAGGGATTCAACCTGCTCATCCCAAAAGGTTGCCATGTTACTGCGGGTGGCCAATTCTCAGGCTAGACAACGAGCTACTTCATTTCCTGGAAGACCAGAGTGCACTCGCACCCAGACAAGTTACGTCCATCCGTGCCGGGTTTTCGTTGCCGTGGCCAGTATTTTGAGAACATGATTTGAAGAACATTTTTTTTCAGTAAGGGCACTACTGCAAGAAGTTTTATGTAGCCAATCAACATTTTTGAAGATCTTCTCAGTTGCCAGCCACACTGCTATCAGCATTACAAAATTATATGTATGTTCTGATTTTGTTGACATTATTTGACCCAGTGCATAGCGGTCACCGAAATTTGTGATGCCATTTGGGTCCTGCTTGAGTCGAAAAACTCGCCGTATAATGTCGCAAAACATAAAATGTGTCACCATAAATAGAAGTACCATAATTCAAGTTTTCATTTTGCTGTCATTTGATTTTAGACAGCAGCTCTTGTTTTTGTGTCATGTAGTGTTTTTTTTTTTTTTTTATTGTCCATTCATCAAGCTGACTACAGGGCATGAAGTTTGGTTCAGTGAACATGATAGCATCAGCGTTGTGGCATGCTGGGCAACACCCAAGTTTTGATCAAAAAGAGGAAACGGGTGTTATAGCTTAGCTTGACTCATATTACCACAATGCGTTGGACCTGTATTACTTTTTGCTTATCCCATGACATCGCTTGACTTGACTGATATTACCACAATGCGTTGTACCTGCATTACCTTTGGCTTACAGCATGACATACAGGCACCGTGAATGAGACTTTGCTGGCACGGCGCCATATCGTGGTCTGAAGCAAAATGTTTTTTTTTTGTTATTGTAGTTAGCTTTTTTCATAGTACGATATCATTTGAATATTGTTACAGCACTTTTAGTGTAAAAAGGAGTGCTTTTGTAACAGTACTGTACATAAAGGTCATATTTTTATTTTACAAAGTTCCTTTATTACTATGTAAATTGCCAATTTAAGTAACTTCATTGTAGTGAGGTTTGACTGTATTACAAGTGTGTTTGTGCATGTCATTACTCATCCACTTATGGTGACATCTAAGAAAGAATTTCAAGCAGTGACACGAAGAGAAAGGCTGCTAAGGACTACACAGAGGACTGAAAAAAGATGAAGGAACATGGCGGAGACTACAGTCAGGAGCATACCTGCTTGGGACTCTGTTACATGCAGTTTAGCCAGGAATATCTCAGTAATGCTGCAAATATTGCACAGACATATCCAACATTGTCTACCACATGGTATGGAGAATTTCAAACAGCCCGAAAGTGTGATAAGTGTTATAACAATTGGAAGACAACTGGCTGGTTCTGCTGATGAGCCAGGACCCTGAAGGACCAACTTCAGCTGGTGGACAGGGCCTTATCTGTCCGTGGAACACTTTAGTTTTCTAGAGTAAAGGACCTAGGGCAGCATGCATGACGATCACAATGAAGTTTATTTGCTACTTGCCTTTTGTTATTACCAAATGGGTTCGTGTAGTGGTGTCAGTCAAAAGTGTGCGCAACAGTGCATACCAAAAGTGTTTTCATGCTCTGCTTATTAACTATCGTAATTGTGCAAATTAAATAATACAATAAAAAAATCATTTATTATTTTCTGTTTAGTTTTAATGTAAGCAGCGGGCATATATGTATTTTTTTTACATTATGGCCTGCCTACAGTTGCTTAGATAATCAGATATCAACATTTGTGTACTGCAAAAAAGCTTTGTGCTTAGTGCAAATATTTGAGGTTGAAATAAAACTTCACATGGTGACTCTCTAGTGTCCATTTTTTTTTTACCACAGTAAAGTGGCCCGTGTGGTGAAAACTGCTGAACCAAGCAACCCACTGACTCCGGTTATGTCTGCCATAAAAAGTGCTCTGGGTTTCCCCTCTGAACATGCCAAAACCCAAACATCAATGCCACCTCGTCCTGGTAAGCTTGCCTGTCTTTGTGCTTCAAGAATAAGAAGGAGGAGGGGGGGGGAGGAGGAGGGGAATGAGCTACCGGAAGTTGTAAAGCAAGAATGTACACTTCAACTTCAATATAAGGAACCCACATAATAACAAAATACCGGTTATATCGAAGTAAATGAATATACCTTCAAAGTAACAAAGTAAATGAATATGCCTTTATATCAAAGTTTTGGATATAACAAACTTATCTTCATGCAAGATGTAACTTTGTTAAAATGAGGTTTGAGTGTACCATGTGCATGCTTTGAATTCAGTGAAGAGCACTTGAGTATAAAGTCCATCATGCAACAGACTGCTCTGTTCATGTTAGTGTATCACATTGTTGTGCTGCATACTCGCCTCAGTAGTCTAGTGGTTATGGTGCTCGACTGCAAACTCGCAGAATCGAATTCTAGCTGCGGTGGGCGCATTTTTCATGGAAGCTAAAGTGTTTGAAGCCCGTTTAATTAGATTTAGGTGCACGTTAAAGAATCCCAGGGGGTATAAATTTCTGGAGCCCTCCACTATGGCATATCTTATAATCATATTGTTATGCGCAATCCAAATGGTGTGAGAATAACTGTTTATTGGGGCTAACTTGTGCCCGAAAAGTAAAGGAAAATGTAGCAGCATTTGTAACTGGCGATCAGCAAAAGGAATCAATTTCCGAGAAGCCCTCGAGCGGTGCCCCACTTCTTTTTCGTCAAAATCCCGTGCTGAGGAGGCGCGCGCCATCACGGCCTTTTCTTGTCTCATCATCGGGCCGCTAGTCTCTTGGGGGGCGCACGAACTAGCGCGCGTAGTTTGAATACTGCGTCTGTCTTGCATCATTATCCCTCCTCCAAGAACGCATCGTCCCGATGCATAAAAGCACTTGTTGCTGAGATGGTCTGAATGCGTAGTTTCTATTGGAGAAATAGGTGAAATAGGTGTGTATGAATGCGTGGTTTCTATTAGAGAAATAGAATAAATATGTGTGTATAGTTCAATGTTCATTGCCTGTCATAGTACAGCTTCATTCTGACTACATGCACGATTTCTGTGCTCCTTCGGCATCTTGATGAGCTCACTTGTCCTTCCGGTGACACCTCGTAGTTCAAGGAGCTGACGCGTTAAGGACTCGGTAAGGGCCAAAATAGCGGTGCAGACGCTTTTCAGAGAGACCAGGCGTCCGCACGGGAGTCCAAATCCAAACTCGGTCGCCTGGTGCGTAGTCGACTCCTCTCCGCTGAAGGTTGTAATGGTTTGCATCCACGCGTTGTTTTATGTGATGTTGCACCAACTGTCGTGCTTCTTCGGCTCACTGAATGAATTCGCTGATGTCAGGCTTGTGCTCTGTATTGTCGCTTACAGGCAGCATTGCATCTAATGATGTGGTAACTATTCGACCATAGACTAGCTCGAATGGCATCACTTTATTAGTCTCCTGCACAGCAGTATTATAAGTGAAAGTGGCGTACGGCAGTATCTTGTCCCACAAACGGTGCTCCAAGTCAACGTAAGTGGACAACATACGGTTAGAGTTGGGTTTAGTCGCTCGGTTAGCCCATTCGTTCGGGGGTGGTAAGCCGTTGTTTTCCTATCACATGTGCGGATAAGTTTCATAATGGACTGCTTCAGATCGGCTGTGAATGCAGTTCCTCGATCCGTTATAACCACCTTTGGGGCACCATGCCGTAGTACAATGTTAGTGACGAAAAATTTAGCGACTTCTATAGGCGTTCCCCTAATGAGAGAGGCTGTCTTGGCATACCGGATTAAGTAGTCTGTCGCCACTACTATCCATCGGTTGCCCGTTGATGAAGTAGGAAATGGACCAAGTAGATCCATTCCTACTTGTTCAAATGGAGATTTAGGGGGTTCTATTGGTTGGAGAAATCCTGCAGGTTTCAATGGAGGCGTTTTGTGTCTCTGGCAATCTCTACATGTCCTCACATAATGCTGTATAGCATCCAGTAACTTTGGCCAGTGGTACTTGATGCGGATGCGAGCCAATGTTCTACTCACACCGAGGTGTCCTGCTGCTGGGTCATCGTGGCAGGCTTCCAGGATTTCGGGTCGCAGGCCGAAGGAACGATGAGTAGGAATTTCTCCCTGCTGTGCTCGAAGTTTCTCTTGTATAAAACGCTGTTTCTCATCAAGTACGAGGACAATCCCCGGAAGAAAACTCGAGGAACACGCACGGGTTGCCCTTCCAGATGCTTGATCAGTTGAAGCAACTCCGTGTCAGATAGTTGATATTCAGTCATGTCTGCAGTGCTGACAGCTCCAAAAAACGGAAAGTCGTCTCCATCTTCTGCAGGTGCAGATTCCACTGGTGCGCGTGACAGGCAATCAGCATCGTTGTGCTTGCGACCCGACTTGTATACAACTGTTATGTCGTATTCTTGCAACCTGAGGCTCCATCTAGCAAGTCGCCCAGAAGGGTCCTTTAGGCCTGCGAGCCATCACAGCGAGTGATGGTCGCTCACTGCTCGAAATGGTCTACTATATAAGTACGGTCGGAATTCCTGTATGGCCCATATTACCGCCAGACATTCTTTTTCCGTCGCCAAATAATTTATTTCAGCTCTCGAAAGAGTTCGACTAGCATATGCGACCATTCGTTCCTTTCCGTTTTGCAGCTGCATGAGGACGGGGCCTAGTCCCAAATTGCTTGCGTCCGTGTGAATCTCTGTTTCGGCTTCTTCGTGGAAATGTGCAATGACGGGGTGGTTTAGGAGTCGCTGTCGTAGCTCATTGAACGCGTCTTCGTGCACGCTTGTTCAGTTGAAAGGCGTCTCTTCATTCGTCACTCAGGTGAGTGGTTCCGCAATCTTCAAAAAAATTTTGATGAATCTTCTGTAATAGGCACAAAGTCCTAAGAATTGTCTCACAGCCCTTTTATTCGTCGGTCTAGGAAACTTTTCTACAGCTGTTGTCTTCTCGGGGTCAGGTCGAATGCCTTCAGAGCTAACCACATGACCGAGGAAAAGCAGTTCATGAAAACCAAAATGGCACTTTTGGTGTTTTATCGTCAGCCTTACTAAACTAATCGCTTCGAGCACAGTCTGTAGTCGTTCCACATGCTGATCGAAGGTGACCGAAAAGATCACAACGCCATCGAGATAAACAAGGCAGGACTGCCATTTTAACCCAGACAGCACAGTGTCTATCATCCGCTGAAATGTGGCGGGTGCGGAACACAGGCCAAATGGGAGTACCTTGAACTCGTATAACCCATCTGGGGTGACGGAAGCAGTTTTCTCGCGATCTCGTTCGTCGACCTCTATCTGCCAGTATCCGCTCTTCAGGTCTATAAAGGAAAAGAATTTCGCGTCTCGTAGTCTGTCAAGGGTGTCATCGATTCTTGGAAGGGGATAGACATCCTGCTTTGTGACGACGTTCAATTTTCGGTAGTCAACGCAGAAGCGCAAGGTCTGGTCCTTTTTCTTTACCAGCACTATAGGTGAGGCCCATGGGCTGGCCAATAGTTGAATTACGTCGTCTCTAAGCATTTCTTCAAGTTGGCCTCTGATGACTTCCCTCTCTTGGTGACACTCGGTACGGGTGCTGACAAATATGTCTAACAGATTGATCGATTATGATGCGGTGTTTGGTGATGAATGTTCTTTGCACTTTCGATGACGTGGAAAAACACGAGGCGTACTCCAGTATAAGGCTCTCGATTTTTGTTTCTGGTTCGGTAATAGGGCTGCTTCAATGTGGATAGATGCGAGTATGAAATCTAAACCGTCAGGCTGTAGTGGTGCAGTCTCTGAAGAATTCAAATCCATAATCGTAACGTAATCGTGCAAGTGACCAATAACAGTTCCCTTTGCAAGATGTTGCACCTCATTTCGGAAATTTGTCAGGAAGACACTCGTACACCCGTCACGCAGTCATACAACACCTCTTGCTGCACAGATCCTTTTCTCGAGTAATAGCTCAGTATTGCTTTCTGCCTTTCCTTCATAGTCGTTGTACACGTTGCTTTTTACGGTGACAACGATGATGGATCTTGGAGGTACTGTTACATCATCACTTGCAATCTGGAGCACATCGAATTGTTTTTCACTCTCAAATGTCGCGATGGCATGTTTCGTCGAGAACGAGACGCACGTTTCCTGCAAGTTTATCACTGCGCCATTGGCCTGCAAAAAGTCCATTTCGATAATTGCATCTCTTGAACACTCCGACATGACAATGAAGCTGGTGACGTACGTGAAGCCGCGTATTCCGACTCTAGAGGTACACGTGCTTGCCGGATCGATAAGGTGTCCCCCGAGGGTTCGCACTTGTGATCTTATCCAATGGGTCAGCAATTTTTTAGCATTCTGGCAAGCCCCCTGCTCATGACAGAATAGTCTGCGCCTGTGTCTACCAAAGCATTCGTTTCGTAGCTGTCTATAAGTACCGAAAAATCAGAAGCGATGTTACCGTTTCCGCACGTAGTCTCGTGTCCATCATCTCATCTTGAAATCGGCACTGGAGTTTGTTTTCTTGCGTCGGCAGCGGCCTTACCTCCCCAGGTCGCCGATTCTAGTTTTCCCGAAGCGGGTTTTGCGGAAGTCGCCTCGGAGAGTTTGAGGATGGACGCGGACTTGGTGACCAATACCTCAGTGGCGCTGTCGACCGAGACTGATGCTGCTGCGAGGAGTGAGTACCTTGATGCGTTGACAGGTACTCCTCGATTTCAAAAGGTCGTTCCCCATTCTGTGGACAGGCAGCGTTTACGGGAAAACCACGAAGTTCAGCTCGGCGATATTCACGCATCCGGTAAAGACGGCCAGCTTCGCCGCAGTGATAACAAAGCGGAATTCGATCAGGAGTGCGCCATATATCAGCTTTTCGGATTCTCGTCTTGGCTGGGGACGGCGTAAATCGAGGTTTCGGCAGATGCGTGCTTGCTGCGGCGAAATAAGGTCCAGGGGCGATGAAAGGAGGTACAGGGGCGCCTTTCAGCACCTCGGCGTACGAGACTGCGGGCTGCATTGGAACCGACGCTTGAACCGGCTGTGCTTGTGGCTGCTGCTCACGGACTGCCTGTCTCACTTCCTCCCGAACAACTTCCGCTAATGACGAGACTGTTGAAGAGTTGCCGTTTAGCTTCTGGAGCTCTTCTCGAACCACCGATCGAATAAGCTCTCGTAATATGTCGATGCCATTCCCGAAGACTGCTGATACCGCATCTACAGATGCGACAGTAACATCTCGATTGTAGTGCCTCACTCGCTGTTGCAGAGTCTTTTCAACCGCTGTCGCCTCGGTGCGAAATTCGGCGACGTTCCGCAGGGGGCATCGGAGCAAACCAGCAAAAATCTCCCGCTTCACCCCTGCATCAAGCGTTGAAGTTTCTTGTCTTCACTCATATTTTGATCAGACCGGCGAAATAACCGGCACATGTCTTCCATATACATTGCGACACTTTCATTGTTGCGCTGGTTTCTTGCTTGCAGGGCAGCTTCAGCTCTTCCTTTGCGTTCTGTACTCGGGTGTGTGGCCAGTAGCTCCCGTCGGAAGTCGTCCCACGACCGAATGGCACCTTCATGGTTTTCGAACCACGTTCATGCGCTGTCCTGCAAGGCGAAATAAACGCGGCGGAGCTTCCGTTCTTCGGTCCATCCATTGCAGTTGGCGACGTGCTCGAAACCCTCCAGCCAATCCTCGGGGTCTTCATGAAGATCACCATGAAAAGGGTCGGGCGTCCGTGGCTCATCAACCACGACGTGCGTGGCAGTGACTGGAGACGAAACTACGTGTGCGGCGGCGGTTGGAGACGACATTTCAGTACTCTCACCGGAGACAGCTGGAGACACTCTAGGCTCTGGTGGCAGGGGATATTCCGGCGGCTCACCACGTAGACGACGGTTGGAGCGCTGATGAACTGGAGTGAGCTCAGTTGGTTCGACTGCTCGTGGTTCCGGGCTGCTTCCTCGGAGTCCAACTGGGTTTGAGATCATTACTCGGCTCCTCCACCAGAATTGTTACGCGCAATCCAAATGGTGTGAGAATAACTCTTTATTGGGGCTAATTTGTGCCCGAAAAGTAAAGGAAAATGTAGCAGCGTTTCTAACAGGCAATCAGCAAAAAAAATCAATCTCCGAGAAGCCCTTGAGCGTTGCTCCACTTCTTTTTCGTCAAAATTCTCTTGCCGAGAAGGCGCACGCCGTCACGGCCTTTTCTTGTCTCATTATAGGGCCGCTGGTCTCTTGGGGGGCGCACGAACTAGCGCGCGTAGTTTGAATACTGCGTCTGTCTTGCGTCAATAATATGGTTGGGGCATGTTATACTTCATCAGTTTTAATTACTATTGCATTCTGCTGCATAGTGACATGTACTGTAATGTGACATGTACGTTCAGTAGTGCATACACGCACTTTATGTTTAGCAGAAGGCCTTTGTGAAACAGACTATCTTTTTCTTCTTTAATCTGGGATGTTCAGGAATATTTTCTTTAAAAGTCAAAAAATTAACCTGATTTCAGATATTCCTCATTGTGTTTTTAAGGGTGATATTGAAATTCACTATGCCTGCCGCACAGGAAACGCAGGTGTTCTGTTACATCAAACAGAAACTTCGCGTGACAAGGAAGTGATAAAATTTCAATGAAGGCGCGTCGCAGCAGCGTCTCATTGGGGAAAGCAGCTAGTCATCTCACTGGCTCCAGCCTTCATTGTTTAGAGCACTCTAAGTCGTGCAATAGCTAAAGTGAAAAGTGAACATGGCCGCCACCGAAAGCGGCACATGTGCATTTTGAAAGATCTCAGATATCAGCATTTTGGTGTGATTGTGCCTAATTTTGTTGATTTAATGATTTTTTCAACTTAATGGTGGTGATATTGATAATGAAACTGCATGGAAGATGAAGAGCAAGTTGTGGCTGTGGTTGTTGGACAGTTGCTGTCTTGTCTACTTATGCACACATTTCAGGTAGACTCAAGCTGTATTTTACGTAAATTAGCTGCCGTTGATGCATCAACTCCACAGTCATCACTGTGTCCTTTTACTCCCTCTATTACCAGCAATCTTATGCTGATGTATCAAGAACAACTACTTTGCTCCAGAGATTTGTTTTCTCTTTTGATGGCCGTGCAATTTCTCAGGGCCACAAAACAACTGTTCTCCCCACTAGACACTGAAAGCCATACTCCTTTCAACAAGGAGAAAACACATTATTGATACTGGTTGACCGTTCCACTCAAACATGTAGTCACTGGACGAGGGCAGTCGTATATACGAGTTTGAACAAAAAGATGATACCATACACTTCTGTGCTGATCATGGCTGATATCACAGAATTACTTGCAAGTTTGTATACCTATTGCCACATATAGATCACACACTCATCTATGTGTAAGGAGCAGATTCTTTCTTTTTATTTCATATTTGCTTTGACTACTATCAGGTGCCCATGACTGACGCTGAACATTACTTAAGAAAAGAAACACTTTTGTAACAGAGGATGGCTTGTGTGAATTCATTATGGTGCCATTCTCTATAATGTGCAGGTTTCATTTGAATACATAATTGATGGTAACTTTCATGGCCTAAAGTGGCATACTTGTCCCTGCTATATTGATGTTTTTTTTTTTTTTTCAGATTTTTCCCATCTTTGCCATATATGCAAACTTTGACTTGTTTGCACTACGCCACACTCCATCTTGAATTTAACAGTGCCTGTTTTCAGCTTGTAAACTGGTCACATTGGACAACATTCTCTTTAAATGAGACATTTTTTCTGAACACTGTAAACTTAACGCTCTAGTAAATTTCCCAAAGCCTACCACATAGACAGCATTATGCAGCTTAATTTAGCTATGCTCTTGTTTTCAATATTTCACATGGAATTTTACTACTGAAATCGCACCTCTGAACCAACTTTTTAATGCTGACAAAACTTTCTTTGTAATCAGAGTCCTTTGATGATGCACTTATGACCTTTCATCACCTACTTGAGCACTGCTAGTGTTACATCTCATTAACCGAAGCTCACATACAAAACTCTGCACTTATGTCAGTGGTGCTGGCCTCGGGGCAGTGCTCACACAGCACTGGTGACACATCCACAACACTGGTGACATGTGGTAAGACAGTCCTTGGTGAACACATAGTTCATGAAGACAAAGTTCACCAAGGGCATCCCTGAAGCTAATTGCTTACTCTTTATCCTAAAGACTTTATGGCCACAGTATGAGCTTTTCAAAAATTTCACCCCGGTTTATCCAGTTGAAATTCTGACATGGTAACTGACCATCGTGTTTTTTACTGGCTGTACAACCTCAAAGACTCAGGTGAAACTTAAAACACCAAGTGGTCAAAATTCCCGGAGCCCTACACTACAATGTCTGTCATAATCATATTTTGATAATGGGATGTTTAAGCCCTGTAATTATTATTAATGTCAAAGACCCCTTAGTGGATTAATTAAGCCCATTAATTAAGCCCAATTATTAGCCATATTTAGTTGTACTTTCATTTTGGCAGTGGCTTAAGGCCACAAGGTATACACCAGTGTTTCCAGCACACTGCACCATATTGGCTGAAGCTAGTGACATTGTGTCAGTGATAGTCAGCTAGACAGAAAATTGGCTGCTACAACCAGCTGCGATAGCACTAACAGCATGCGTTTCCAAGCAACCATCTGGTGTATGCATGCAGGTTTGCTGCAAAGAACACATAGCGTGACAACGGGCACTAACTCTTGCTTAACGAGAGCTTCAAATGAGAAATGCTAAAATAGCTCGCCAATGCAGCCCAGCGTGTGTGCCGATAAATAGGTGCGAAGCTATTCGTGAACTGGTCACATTGGAATGTATCTTATGATGCCAGACATGATGGTTGCAGCTTGTCGTCGGAGTGTATGTCATTAGCACTTGATGGCACATATTCTGTTTTGCAGCCTCTTTGATTCTTGTTTCAATATTTTTTGTGCTTGCTTTTCTAACAATTTTTTTGCATGGTTTGTAGACAGCTTAATGGCGGTGCTTTTCACTGTGCATTGTCAACTGGGTCATGCTGCAGGTGGCCTACATGCTGTACCAGCATGTCCTAGTGAGCCACAGTTTGAGCAGCTGGTGCAGGTCCTACACCAGCTGGCCCTGTTTGCTGCCCAGCAAGATGAGTTTCAGGGAGTGTGTGCTACGTATGCTCTCCAGATTCTTGCTGGCACCCAGGATGGCATCACAGTTCACGTTTGCTTCAACCAAGGTAAGTCAGGACATGACCAGTATTGATCTCCCCACTAAAATTAAGCTGCAAAAGAAAAGCATACCCATGTAGCAAGCTTTAACTATTGCAAGCTGCTGAATTGGTGTTAATTCATAGCTTTTTTTAAAACTGCCTGGATTATCTTAGGTGTCTCTCACCTCCTAAAGCCTTTTAAGAATAGAAACCTTTTTTTTCTCTTCATTATTTTCAGCCATTGTCTCTATAAAGAATTTTTAGAAGTCTATATCTATGTTGAATTCTCATATACGGTGGTGTTGAGATAGCTATTACCAAAAAATAGAGAGATTGAGCATTGCCAGCTCAAATTTTGTTTAAATGCAATGGGCAGTTAGGCATAAAATAAAAATATTTCCGAGTAGCTGGTATTGAAAAATTGAAAAATCTTAGAGAGGGGCCTTATCATTTTAAATGCTCAGGTTTTATTCATTGAATGCAAGAAGAAAAAAAAAAGGTGCACCATCAGAGTTTTCTAGCTTGGGAAGATTGCTTGTTTCAGTTTCAAGGGAGCCCTGAAACACATTTTTAATTTATTAAGAAAGTAAGGCCAATATGTAGGCAAGAGTCCTGTGAACATGTGAACCATTTATTATTACCCTGAATGCAGCACAGATTTGTCGTATCAAATACAGACCAATTTGCTTGCGCTCTTGTTTGCATGCTCAACACCTATGCAAGAAACTGAAGCTAGTGGGCTCAGCATGCATTTCTTGATTTCCTGATCATAATAACATTTTTTCAGTAGTAGTAATATTTCTTATTTTAGATGCGAAGCATCTTTTGCTTAGGTCTATGTCCCACGGTGTTGGCGGCATCCGAACTCGCATTACACATGCACAACTCTCCTCCTTCCCTTTTTAACAGCTGTGCATTACCCTTTTCACTTCTCTCCAACCACCTGCTTGCACTAGCTCCCACCTCTCTCTCCTCTAGGCATCCATCCCAGTGGCGTTAACACCCCCATTGCGCATGCACATCCCCTCCACTCTACTACACTCCACTGTTTCTCGCCTTTCAACGCTGATGCAGGGAGCATAAGCTAACCTACACTCGCTCTCTCCTCTCCTCTAAGCATTCCTTTTCACGGCATTTACACCGTCATTGTGTATCCCCTCCCTCTCTCTGCTCTCCTACACTTCCCCTTTCTCGCCTCGCAACGCCGATGCAGGCAGCGTCTGCTAGAGAGTTTCTTGACTGAAACCGACTGCTCGCGCTGCACAATCATTCACTGGCCACCCTGATATAGGCACTGGATCTTGACCTCCAAGTTAGTGACGGGGGGAGATCTTTCCTGTGCGTTGTTCAACGATAAAAATTCGCAGGGTGTGCGTTAACTAAAAGCGACTGCGGCCCTCTGTCTCCAAATGGAGTCCTCTGTTTCACAGCCTATTAGCAGCGATTGGCATGTTCCAGTAAGAAACAACGGTCCATCACTGCGTGCTTGTGCCTCCCCAGGTTTCTCTCCTGCGCAACGCCGCGATGAGCGCCAGCGTCAACATCGCCACCAGTGTAAGCGTTAGCGCCTGCTGCTTCGCATCTACACATGGTTTCTTTTAGCACGAGATGACGTATATTTTTAGTTAGATACCTAAATGAAAGTATGCGTCACTGCATTGTCAAAAGGTCTAAAATAAGTTTTCATTTTTTACGTGATTGATGGTCATTTTTTTATTGTTTTCTTTTGTACTACACTGATGAGAGTCAGCACCTGGCACCTACGTGCATGCTACTTCATCTTTCACATGCCTGAGTCAGTCGTTTGTCTCATGCTGAGTGCACTATGATAATATTTACCAATTAATCTTATTGCCTTAAAAGCTCACATGCACATATGCTCTTGTCTGTGCGTACAAGTTCTCTCCTGTGTACCACGTGTTAAGTGCCTTGGCAAACATAGCTTTATATTTAGCTAAATTAAAGCATTTAAAAGTGTAGTGATCTTGATTTAGCTACTGTCTGTCAGTCAAACTGGCACAAAACAAAGCCAGTTCATGCCAGGTGCTCATGTAACGTGGCCAAAATAGAGCATGCAAGCTTGCGTTCCAGCATAATAGTGCTGAGTTGCTCATTCTACTTTGCTGTGAGTGTATGTACCACAGCCGTCATAGGGTGCCACTGTGTGCTGGCACCATGCATGTCTAAACTACAAGTAGCAGCCAACAGGCTAAAAAAAATAAAATAGAGAAAATGGTTAGAAAAACAAGAGAAAATGAATACAATAGTCTGGGATGATTTTTGCTGTCTACCACCTCTTAAAAGGCTTTTTTTTTTTACATGTGTGTCTGGGCAACAGACATATACATCTTGAATGCCTTACTTTTCTTCTCACTCTCTATTTTTTGTTCGTTCTAGTTTTTCTTGTTTTTGTGTGTTTCTTCAATACTGCTATATCATGTTGTTGAGATAGCTGGCCATAATGTAGCATACGTTCTTCCTATATATATATTTCTTTATACATAAATAAAAGAACGCTCATGACATGGCTTACAGTGACGTTACTCTTAGCCCTTGTCTTGCCTCCTAGCCTCCTAGATACCCCCCCCCCCCCCCTTTTCTTTTTGGGTAGCTTCCAGCACAGTTGCAGAGGGAGAATGAATTCACTGCATCATAATTAGCCTTAACGCTGCTCATATTGTTTCAAACTATTGTTGCAGCTGGTGACTTAGCCCAATAAAATAATACAGCTTAATAGGGAAGTCATCTTAGGATTACTTAAACAATTTCTGCAGGGTCACTTCTGACAGAAAGTTGTGAAGTACTGAAAAGCAAGTTACCTAATGGTGTGCAGGACTTGAATATAAAAAGAAATTGTTTTTTTAATAATAGAAGAGACATGAAGAACTCATTGTTGCTTGTTACTTCATTTCACAATCATACTGAAAAAAAAAAAAAAAAGGAGACCTTCTCTAGAGGTTCTCATCTATGCACTGCCTGTACTTATGTCCATATTGTTATTTCATATACAGGTGTCCCTATATCATGTAGTGAGATTTTAAAAAAGAATGGCATTAAATGAAGCAAGCCTAGTACATATTGTTCCTAGTACACTGGATTAGCCAACACTATATTTTTGTTTAATAAGGTTTGATTGAATAATTGCAATTATAGTTTCAGCTTGACTAGTACTCACCAAATTATCAAAATGTCAATGGGGCATATGTAGACATGTCCGAAAAACATCTAACTAAACTAGTATTTTGATCAACATACTATTCGCATGCTTGTTTTATCATGTTGATAAAAAAGCCCACAAAAATCTGAAAAATGACACGGGATTAGACTATAGTACTGATCTGTAAGCAGTACCCTCAAACAGACTTATTGTGTGGGGGCAATAGCCACATGTTATTTTTTTCATTTTGGGGCCTTTTTATCAGCCAAAAAACTTACCATGCAATTACTAGTACAATAGACTCTCAGTAAACAGAAATCTTTTTGATGGAATAGCTGTCTAAATGAAACTTTCTATATGGTTTCTTGCCTGAATACTACAACCCTGTTCATCTCTCAGAAAATGAAACTCCTGCTAAACGGAGCATATTTTCTTGGTTTCATTTAGGTTTTGTTTAACAAGAGTCTACTGTATGTTTCTGAAAACAGCGCAGTTAGATGTCATTTGTACATGCCTACATATGCTTAATTGATGTGTTTATCATTAGATGAGTACTTGCTGAGTTACAAGTATAATTGTGACTAAATAAATAAACCTCACACTAGTAAATATATTAGTAGTGGCTACTCCAGTGCTTTCCAAGCAATATGTACTAGACTTGCTTCGTGTAACACTCATCCTCTTTGTGAAAATCTTATGTTGTGATAGTAGGAACACCATGTGTAATGCCGACAACCTTAAAATGGCTTTAGAATAGGAAGTAGTGTTAGTGTACTTTTCAATGTGTCTCCGTTAGATCGAAGCCATTTTCGTAAAACACGCATAAGAATTTTGAAATGTCAAACAATATTAGACTATAAACAACTCATTAAGCAGCCCAACCTACCATAAAATTTAAGCAAAGTGAAGGGGGCCGCTTTCCTGGAAGAAAAAAAAATCAAATTTTGCCATCGAATTTTAGGTCAGGTGCTTAGAAATTGGGCTGCTGAGCAGGATTGGATTGGGTGGGATTCAAGCATTCCAGTGTTGTATAGACGCATGCATTATAAAGGTGAAAACGTGGTGGAGTGGCAGGGGCTGGTGGGATGAAGCTTTCTTCAAACTGCATGTAAATTTGAAATTAGAGGTGAAATTGGAGGGTATGCTTGCTCATAATTTTACTATACTTACTTACTGTGACTGCCTTTGAGGTTAACAACACAGTTCTTTCTACTATTTGTTCTCTGAAATAATTATTATTATATATGTACTATGCTCTGCATTTATGATATATTTAGAACTCTCTCAAGTGTCAATATTGAGTGATTGTTGTCAAACCTCACTACCGTTCAATCCCAAAGAAGTGCCTTCCCCCCCCCACCTCTATGATAAAGGATAATCTAATGAGATTTGGAGGGGGGCCCTGCTCAGTCATGGATCAAAATTTTTGATGATGGTGGAAGAGCTGCTAAGGATTAAGAATGTACACCTGTGCTTCTTATAAAATGCTTTATTGATACAGTGAAACAGTGATACAGTGAATTAAACAGTGGAAATGGTAGCAGGGGGAAGAGAGCCTAATTATAAATTTGATGAAGAAGGGAGGGGGGCACTTGCTCAGGATTTCACGGTAGGTCTTTTATCTTGATGTGTAAAGAGAACAAAAGTCAGGGTCCCTTTTAAAATAATGCCACTAATTAAGCTTAGAGACTTTTTATTCTTACTTTTTTAAGAAGGGTCCTGACCTACTGCTCTAGCTGGGTGAAAAAAATATATACAGCAAAAAGAAAACGCTGTTGTGAGCAGCTCAGCCAAATCTTTGTCATGTGCAGTAAGCAAAGCTCACAAGCAGAGCTCAATGTTGCCACTTTCTTAAGTGCCTTCTCAATGTACAGATGAGGCCCATACACTCTCTTCAAAGGGCCATCACACAAGTGATTGCTGCTATTGACCGATAGCAGACATAAACCAAGAGCAAGGTTTGGATCCGATACGCTTCTTGTCTCAAGGTGCCACCGCGTGCCCGGTGTCGTGCTCTATAGTGCACTAAAGTTTTATATTAGCAACGCTTGTTGGTAGTGGGATGACAGAAGAGAGCGATCGCATTTCATGATGAACAATCCAAGTCATCACGCTCATGTGGCATACTTTCTTTCCTCCTTGTATCTCTCCTTGTACAGCTTCCAGCTTGCTCATTAGGACAAAAGAAGGGAGGAAGAACTTGAAGGATCACCAAAGAGAAAGATGAATTTTCTCGTATTAGTAAATTACACTTTTACAATACCAAAATCATTGTGCTTACTGTGATAAGACACTTGGCAAGCGAGAGAAGCGGCAAAAATGCGCAAAAAGAAAATGCAGCTAGCGATGCTGCCTTAATGTTCCCGCACCAATCGTCGTGGCATCATAGGTTTTGACAGCATGTACTAGTGCCTATCTAGTTTCTAATTGGTACAGATAGTGTACCTTGTCCTCTGAGGAGGCCAGATACTTAGCCTGCCAGGCTTCATAAAAGTTAATTGAGTTGGGACGTTAAACCTCACATATCAATCATCAAAAGATCATTGAGCCAGTGTGGCTTAAAGATGAATGTAAAACATTTTGAAATTCATGGTGTCACGTGTGGAAATTTCAGTATAAGGTTTAAAATTATAACTTGGACTTTGATTTTCTCTTCCATTAATGGGCCTATGATGGTCAAATTAATGACAGTAGAGTTTTCAGAGTACAATTTATAATATTCTTGGAAACATTTTGGAGAGCACAGAAATGTTTTCTAGAATGTCCTCGAACCAACTCGTCCAACTTGCCATAGTAATACAATATAATTGACAAGTCTACACTGATTAATTGCTTTACTTTAGTGTAAGTTTAAAGTGTGCGACAGAGCTCTGTAACTTCTATAACACATGACGAATTTGCAAAATGTTTTGGGCAATTGATATGTGAAATAATGAACTTCGAAACTCAGATAAATCGATCATTACTTAGAAAAGTGGTTCAAGAGCTCTTTAACGAGGCCTGCAGCACTTTTTAAGCATGGTCAGAAAACGCTTCCGATCGGTAGTAGAGGCTCCTGACAATACGCGAGCCAAATATCATAGCGCAGCATGCATCTAGGAATTCACAATAAATTATCACAGTTAGCTGAAAATTGCTTTCTCTTCTCTTGAGAAATGACAGAAGATGTTAAAAAATCACACGTAGAAGGCCATCTATCAGCCATTGGCTGGTTTGAACATGCCACGCTCAGTTGTTACAGAGATCACCACGGGAGGCCATGCTTTGTTCACGTGTGCACGCGGGATTACACATAAAAAGCTGGAAAAGCCACATATTCGAAGAAGAAAAAAAAAAATAGTGCTCAAGGGCACGAGGTGCACGTGACTTAATTTCTTTGCCCCTGCCTTTCCTCCCTGCTTAACCTCCAGCGCTTTCATTGGGATGAGAGAAGAGAGAACGCAATTGGAGCGAGTGACGAATCTTTTGTAACGCCTTGACATGCTTCCAGAAGAGTGCTAGGGTTCGGTAACCAGGAGGTGCAGGAATGTGCTATTCCTGTTGCACTTGCTGACATAAATGGCTTCGTGGTGTTGGCTTTTCAGAAACAGTATTTCAAAAGGGAGAATGTTTGTCTGCAGTTTATGCCTGCAGAACGTCTGCAGTTTGCTATATAAATAGGCTGACAGTCTTTGTGCAGGTTTTGGTCACTTTATGTGTTGTAAAATCTTCTTAAAATGGTGTCTGAACTAAAAAACATTGCAGCAGGGCCCATTTCATCAACTGTTGTGTCTTTTTTTCTGTTTTTCTACACACTACTCACCTCAGTGGTCTAGTGGTTATGGTGCTTGACTGCTGACGCGTAGGTCGCGGGATCGAATTCCAGCCACAGTAGCCCCATTTCAATGGAGGTCAAATGCTAGAGGCCCAACTGTTTAGATTTAAGTGCACATGAAATAACCCCGGGAGTTCTACTAAATTTCAGGAGCGCTCCTCTACAGCATTTTGCACAATCTTAAATCAGTCATGGTTTTGGGCCCCGCCGCAGTGGTCTAGTGGCTAAGGTACTCAGCTGCTGACTTGCAGGTCGGGGGATTGAATTCTGGCTGCGATGGCTACATTTTTGATGAAAGCGAAAATCCTGTAGGCCAGTGTGCTCGGATTCGGGTGCACGTTAAAGAACCCTAGGTGGTCAAAATTTCTGGAGCCCTCCACTACGGCATTTCTCATAATCATATGATAGTTTTGGGGTGTTAAATCCCACATATCAGTCTATTATTTTCAAGCACTAATTCAATCAATCAAGCACTTATTTTCTACTCACTAGCTATGCTTTATCACTTCGTGATTGCTTTTCTAATGTTGTGTGACTTGCATCTATAAATTAAAGGGATCAGTACTTTTAAAATATTGATTCCATAGCATTGTTAATAGATTGTCATAAACACAGCTACATGTTTGAACAAGAAAAGTTTGTAATATATAACTGTCCACCTTTGTCAGTTTACTTGTCTGCTGTCTAGTAGTGCTGCTTTGCCTCAATACTATACTGTGGTTTGTGTGTAATCTATGCAGCCTCTACTTTTGCTAAATAAAGCTCAAAAGGACTCACTTTTCTGCCTGTTTTTCTCTCCCTCTCTCTCTCTATACAAAGCATTCCATCTAGTGAAAATTGTGCGAGCATGTCATGACTCTGAAAGAGAGGCGTTGACGTCGAATGCAAAAAAGGACATTTAATTGCTGCTGTTGTTGCTTATAATTTTAAATCACACTAATCTATTACTCAATATGTCTCATTTTCTTTTTATGCAGTCTATCCTCTTATAGCCTTGTAATTCTTGAAAATTACAGGTAGTGTGGAATTGGTGCGTGGCAGTGATCTCGGCGACAGAAGGAAGGCCGATGTGACACTGCGCCTCTCTGCTGATGACCTGACCTTGATCCTATGTGGAAAGGAATCTCCCATGCAGGTGTACATGGGTGGTCGCATTCAAGTCCAAGGGGACTGGTCTTGCCTGCGCCGTTTCATGGGTGTGATTGACAAATGCACTACTGGCTAGAATTTGCTTTTCTTTTGTTCTTTTTCTTTTGTTAGGCCAAGCCATTTACTTGACACAATACAGCTATACTATACAAATGAAATTTTGTTACAGCCATGTGCAGTAATAGCGCTGCGGAAGTATGAGAACAAAAAATTGTTGTATAGCTTCAAGTTCTTTTGTTCCTTATTTCTATAAAGAGGCTGATGTAATGGTGTTGTAACATAAGGGAGCAGATCTGCTTTCAGCAATGTGGATGTCACAATGTTTTAGTCGGTGGTATATACTTGCTAGTACATGTTTTGTTCCCTTCTATTAGAGTTTCGGTTTATGTAGTACACACCCTTTAAAGCAATCATGTAGGAGCATTGTAAATATGTAGCTTAACAGTGGTGCACTGAGTTCATAATACACAAAATGAAGTGCTTAACATTTCTTAGTTTATTAGATAATTGGCCTAAACAAAAGTTGTCTAAAGAGAGCCTACTGTATTTATAAACTTATATAGCATTTGATTAAAAAAAATTATTGTTTCACCTTGTGCTTGCCTTCAAACTCAAAATTTTGGGTTTTTTTTTTTTGTTAGAACAAGATTTTTCTAGTCAATCATTTTTATGTTGGCCAGCATTTGTATTTACCAATAGTGTTATGCTCATACATGTCTTTTGTGCTAATTGTTTTGATGATTTTCTGGCATCATTGTTTCTTACATTGAGATAAAAACTGATGCAGAATACTAGTAACATCTCTAGTGATACACACATTCCATTCTTAGTTTAATGAGTGCTTTCACGGTATGTATTACTGCATTTAACAGCATTTGATATGCTAGTATAATAGAGTTTTCCATCCGCATTTTAAGCTATCCACCCTTTGAAAGGTCACTAAATCATTGCTGTACATATTTTAAAGGAACTTCTGCATCACATGCGGTGTACCATGATGACCATTTCTCGTGAAAATGAAAGGGCCATATGTCATCGGGAAGCCACAAATTTAAAACACATTCCTGCACTCCTCTCTAAGCTTTTCCAGTCTCTTCTTCGCATGTCATGACACCAGCCTTGTGACAGCTTTTTCTTTTTAGTGAAGTTATCAAGACGAAGATAGTGATTAGGCAGTCAACCATGGATGATAGCACTAACAAAAAAGCCAGCTTTCTCTTCTAGTAGTGTTGGAGTCTTGCCTATTGTGTGCCACTGTATCTTTTATGAAGCCTCTTGTCTGTTGACACTGCATGGGGCTTTGACTGCACTGTATGTGTCCTGTAACTTTTGCTGTACTGTATGGAGTTATCAAGTACCCGGCAAGGAGTTTAGTGAAAGTAAATGGAAAATTGTGGCTGCATAGTTGTACATCAAATGCCTGTAGCATTGTTCTTATTGCATCACTTTACAGTATTCTTGTGGCTATATCTTCACTCTACACTAGTACACCGCTTCGGTTAAATGACAACTTTGTTAGCTCTGGATAATTTAGAATTCTTTTGATTCTTCAGTATCAATTTTCTTTTTCTTGTTTTTATAGCTTTATAAGAAGCTCTAGTCAAGCATTTCTATCTAAATAGTACAAGGGAAGAGAACATTTTTATCAGTTAACTATTGCATCGAAATTGATTGTTTGTCTCGCTTAAGAAAAAATTTGCATGCAGCAGTGGTAGGAAGATTTCTTTTATCTCTCTCTAAGGTTTTCAAGTGTTTTTAAAAAACTGCTGAAAAATAAAAAAAAAACTTCTAATCTTTCAAAATTGTAACTTAGTAATAGAAAGCATTTTTTGTGTAATTCTGCTAGGTGTACCTAATGGCATATCAGAGCCAAAAACATGATTGTGGTATATGCGCTGCTTGGAAATGTGCTATTATGGTAATTTATGAGCTGGACTTTAGCAAAATTATTGTGAACATTTTGACATTTTGTAGTTCGAGGTTTGTTCATTTGGGATGATGTAACAAATGCAGTTTGCAGAACTGCGATGATACCTTACAAGTTACATTAAGTAACCAGAATTTATGATGGAACTTGGCAAGGGATGGCACCTTACAAAGAGAGAGAGAGAGCAAAAACATTTATTAAAGTAACTACAACTTGCAATATTCCTTTTTTTTTTATTAGCCTAAGGGCCCTCATGCGAGGGCATACAGTTGAACCCACCTGTAATAATACTCAAGTGCCATGAAAATTTTATTGTTATAACCGATAATTGCTATGAACAGGTTATACAGAAAAAGGCAGAATAAGTGGATGGCAGGTTGTTGTGAGATAACTACAATACCGGATGGAATATGCCAACAGACATCAGTAACAAGGGTGTACAAAGCTGCCGATATTTTGGACATGTTCGAAAATTCGGAAGCTTTCTCGGGACCACTTCAAGCCCCATAGAGCCAATGTATGACAATGTCTGAATTTTGTGATGCTTAATCTCCTCACTGTTTGAACGTTTTACTCATATTGCATGTTTTAACAGAAGCCACCGCCGCTTTCTCGCCATAGCAGATTTCAAAAGTCAGCTTTGCCACGATGACATGCGCTGTGAGGTGAAGCATATTGCAAGTCTAAAGGTTTTCTGGAGTACATTGAAGTTGTTGGCTAGGCTTCAGCGGCTTGAATGTCTAATTTTCTTCTTACTTTTCAAGGATTTCACATTCTATTACCATTTGGCACAGACACCAAACAGCCAAAGTTTGTTGTTGTAACTGATAATGAGCCATGCGAACATTGCTTATTTCACAATATGAAACATACGAAAGTAGATGTAGCAGTAGCGTCTCATTGTGTCATGACCAAGAAAGACACTGGGGCTCCAGCGTGCGGATAGCTAGAGTAAAGAAGAGAAGAACGAAGTCAGAATAAGAACAGCTGGCCCAGGATCGGGTGTTGTCTCTTGTTCTCTGTCTCGCTCATCACAATGGCGCAGTCGACGAAGAAGTCTTATGTCCCGGCTTCGTCATCCAGGATAGCCGTGATAAGCGCCACTTGAGGACGGCGTCAAGGCCTCACCTGCCGCCACTGCCACCACCGTTCGGGGACGGCGTCAAGGCCTCCTCGGCGGCTGCAGTACACGTTCTGGTACCATTTCGCAAGAGACGCCGTCCACGCATCCTTGGCTATGGATTCTGCCATCAGCGCAAGCCGACAAGTGAACCCTCTGTGGGAAGCCACCAGTACGTGTCTTCGTGGTTCGTCGGCAGTGCGGGCTTCTTCATCCAGGAACGCCGTTTACGCTTCTTTAGCGATGGAGTCAACAACTCGGCCGCCGCTTCAGCTGCCCATCGGACCATCAGAGGACGGTGTCCGTGCCTCCTCTGTGGTACCAGGGCATCACCCGATGAACACCATGCTACCACTTCGCGCCCGTAATACGCACGGGCTCCTGTCCTTTGGGAATGCTGTTCAAGCTTCCCACGGCCTGCATTCCCTGTACGGTACTCCTCCAACACATAAGCCGCCAAGAAACGCTGTTCATGCTTTCTTAGACGTGCGTGTCACCACCGTGAGTACTACTAGAACCACGTACTTCACGGACGCGAACCAAAGCGGTTCAGAAGCCTCGTGCGACAGTGCCGTGGAACTACGGCATACCATCGCAATGCTCCGCGCCGAGACTAACAAACTGACAGCGTTGATCGCCGAGCGAGCTCCTACAATGTTGCCAGCATTGTGTGACATTAATGCAGTGTTGGATGTAGCTGCCTCATATGACCTTGAGGCAAGCACACCGGAGCAACGCAGGGAGCTTCGGTCTTTTCTGATCGAGCTCTCACACCAGCTCGACTGCTTCACGTCGGTGATCTCCGCGTTGCCACCTGCTTCCTCACAATCACCGGTCGTCTGCGAACTACCGGAATTCCATGGGGTCCGGAACGACGCCGACAGCTGAGTGGCAACCGTCAACGCGACAACGATGCGCGAGGCCTGGACCGAATCTCAGAAATGGACCGTGGCTCTAGAACGTCTTCGGGAAGGTGCAGCGGCGTGGCACCGGTATAAAGGCTTCAAGCAGCAGTCCTGGGTAGAGTGGAGCTCCAAGCTCATAGCTGCCTTCGGCCGGACACTCTCCGATCTCCTTTCCACCACCCAGTCCAACCTGACCGGTACTGAGGATGGAGTTCAAGAAGGGTTCCATCTCGAGGCTCCAGCTGAGCACTCCAGTTCTCCACATGAGCTTCCAGACTCGTCGCTGGTACCGGACCAAAATTCGTGTCAGCCATCGGCCACTCCGTCCTCTTTCGTGGGGGGAGATACAGAGGGGCACAGGGTAGCTGGACCCTTCGTCAACGCGCCCACTACCATATATCGAGCTCAAGTGGGGCGACGGCTCGATGTCTCATCGCAGTCCTCCAGTCTGACAACAGGCAACAAGACCACCCTCGAGCCTCAGCAATTGGCATCGCAGCCTGTCCAGAACGCCGACAAAAATGAAGACAAGCGCCCCAAACTGTACCAACGGGATTGCCTGCTAAGCGTGCTGCGACTGCTACGAGATAGCCATGGTCACCGACCAGAGTGTTCGACAGCCCCCACAAGGCGAGTTATCGCGTCCACGAGAGGGACCCCACAGACGCAGCCAATACGATGACAGCTTCACAGAATGTCCTGCCGCAGATGCCAAGACCGGCCGTGAATTATTTTATTCTGCCACACATCACAGAAGTTGCGTACCCACTCTCGACACCAGCCAAGGCACCTAGCGCATCTTTTGGAATACGCTTTCGGCAGCCCTCGTCCGGCGTTTTATATCAGCCGCTGGTTTTGCAGCCCGTCCGAAGCGCGCTGTCAGGTGCATGTTTAGCTGCTTCACACAGAGAGTCTCTGCATGGCCGAGACCAACCACAACGATGCAGCCAGTCTCGACCTCCCGATAGACTTGTGGCAGACTCCGGCACCCAGTTCCAGCGTGGTCGAGGCCGACATCCGAGATGCAGCCAGTATCGACCACCAGATCTACTTCTGGCAGATACCCAGACCAAATCACAGCCTTGCCGAAAGCGTCGGCCGCAACGGGGCAGCCAGTGCCGGCCGCCTGAGTCCACAGCACTTTTTCAAGAGACATCGTGGCATGCAAAAGAGCGACCGACTCGAGGCAGCCAGTGCCGTCCACCAGAGACGCTTTTCCCAGACCGTCGCTCCATCTTGCATTGTGGTCCGGGCTGACCACCACGATGCAGCCAAGCCTGCCCACCAGAAACTTTGTCGCCAGCTTCGCGCACGTGCAGTCATGGCCGAGTGTCATGACCAAGAAAGACACTAGGGCTCTGGCGCACGAATAGCTAGAGCAAAGAAGAAAAGAACGAAGTCAGAATAAGAACAGCTGGCCCAGGATCGGGTGTTGTCTCTTGTTCTCTGTCTCGCTCATTCATCACACATTGTTATAAATGATATATTGGTAAAACTGGTATCATTATAAGTGGGGCTGACTGTATAACAAGAATTTGCAATGCAGCTTTTCTCGTGAAGCTTTTTTTATGGCTCTTTCCCCTCGAATTGCGTAGTGTGCAGGCACTTAAAAGTTTAACACCTTATTTCTCTCCTCATTTTTGGCATCTTAATTAACAGTATTTCAATATCAACAATTGCAGCAACACATTCAAAAAAGACTGGGTGGGGAAACACTGACACATTAAGAACATCAAGACACTGCAAATGCTAACAGCTGCAAAGGCGCAATGGGTGAAAAGAAAGATGGCATAAAACCTTATTCGCACATACCCGAGCAGTAGGCTAGCCCATAATTCTAGCTCTCTTAGGGTTCTACACGGAAGATGACTGTTGCATTTGATTTCTTCTTTATGCTAGTTAATCAACAGTTCACTCACACATGCATTACTGCTATTGTTGATATGCCATGACTCAATCATTAGATATATTTCTTCATTCCTCTGCCTATACAGAAATACATAGTTATTAAATTTTGGCCAGCACTTACACTCTCAACAATTTCGTATGTTGTAATTACATAAGAGATCGCTTACAGGAATGCTTGCCTTCTAATCTATCTTTACATTGCTAAGAGTGTAAGTGCAAGCCAAAATTCTATGAATGCGTAATTTTGTACAAACACAAGAATGTAGAAATGCATCTAATGATTAAGGCATAGCATGTCAATAATAGCGGTAGTGCACACCAGAGTCAACTGTTGATTCACTTGCATAAAGAAGAAATTAAATGCCTTAACCGTTATCTTTCATGTAGACTCCCCCACGTGCCGGATTGATAGGGAGCCTATTGCATGGGCATGCACAGATAAGTTCTCGTGTTTTCTTTCTTTTTCCCCCACTGTGGGCCCTTTGCAGTTCTTGGTCGGTGTTTGTGGTATCTTGACTTCTTTCCTGTGTCCGTGTTCGCATGCCCCGTCTTTTAGAATGAATACTTACCAACTAGCTCAGCTCTCTGTTGTTCTATGCAGTGTCACATTTAATGTATGACTATGCTGAATTATAGGCATAATGTTACTTGGCAGACACTGCCATTATGCATAAAAGCCTTTCTGGCTAGCAATAAAGCATGATAATTGCTGGTTTAAATAAAAAGGTGCCACTCATATTTCTTTTTTGTTTCTAAACTTGTTGTGTGCTTTACATTTATATGTTTGAAACATTGCTGAAAATTTTAAGAAGACAGTAATATTTTTTTCCAAATGTGTAGCATAATGTTGCATTGAAAAATACACATTGTTTTTTTTTTTCATTTTTTTTTCTAATAGAGAGGTGAGGGGGCTCACATGAAAAGCATTTGAAAGTTTGTGTCCTATATAAATCACCATGTAAATAAATACAGTAAAACCTCATTAACTAGAAATCGGTTGTTTCGAAATCTGGCTTAATTCGGAGGATTTCCGTGGTCCCGTACCTTGCAATGTAAGTTTGAGTGGATAATTTGAAGCGGTGGCCGGCACCAGTCCGGTTAATTCGAAAACTTTAGATGCCATGTTGGGTTTCAGATCCCGATTTCGCCGCAAATCTGCTGAAACGACATCCCTTAATAGCCATAAAGCAATGCAACGTAGTGATACTAATGAGTGGCAGCGGGAGCACCTCTGCCTCTCGACTTCCAGCGCAAAAAAAAGAGAAAAAAAAAACGGTCTCGTGGTCAATCAAAACGTGCGCCTGCAGAAACGAGACGTGCTTCACTGCAACATAGCGATGATGCGCAGGCAGCATATTGCAAAACTGCTGCTTAGGCGAGTTGGTTCATGATCATTTAGACAGATATTGGAAGTATCTTGCAAGATCAGTGGGTCATGGTTTACCCATTCCTTCTAGGATTGCAATCAAATAATAAAGTACTGTTTGACGGAATTCGCGATGTACCCGAACCTCCAATTGCCGGTTGCTTTGCACTGCTGATGGAGTGCCGGTTGCTTTGCACTGCTGATGGATCCATCAGCACTGCTGATGCACTGCTGATGGATACCTTTGCACTGCTGATGGAGTTCTTGCCAGCAACACCTACTTCAAAAAATAAGTTCAAAGATTTAAAAGATCACTTTTTTTAGCCACAACACATCGCGAGTTTCGTCGTACTGGCCATTAATAAATTCGTAATGATACCAGAAAGAATGTGCGAATGGCCGCACCCTGACGTGCTGATGCAGCGAGGAGCTGTCGACATGCTTCCCATGTGTCACTACTGTTCTGCAGTGAAGATGTTTCGTTTTCTGCAGGCGCACATTTTAGTTGATCACAACTGCGTGTTTTTTTTTTGTTTTTTTGTTTTTTTTTTTGCAGCAGCGAAGTCCATCGTTTTCTAAATGTAAAGCATTTCTTAGCGAACTTCGGCCACTTTGAGCGTATCTATCTATCTATCTATCTAGCCGCTTATGCTTGGGTGCTGTCGTGGGCACCCCCTTAACTTGGTGTGAACCAAAATTAGCATGGGAGGGTAAGATGGTTTGACGAACATGACGTGCTAGTCAAGACATGAATAATGTCACAATTCCGTCGCGTACTTCACATACTCAAGGGCGGGTATGGGCCGCTGCTCTGCGGGTATATGCCTCTGATGAGTGACATTTAGTGTCTATCCAGGAACAACGAGAACACACGCGGGCAAATTTAACATGCGAGCGCTAAGAAATACCCGACATCCGCAGCGTCAACCCACTGAATGCAAATAATATATGCCAGGATCCCAGCTGGAATCGAACCCAAGCATTCTACGTGGCAGTGAAGCATCTTACTACACTACGCCATGTCTCGGAACTTCTTTTCAAATAGGCGCTAATCTTCGTGAAATGTCAATAGTGGTTGCAGTGCTGCCTACCCAATTTTATAAACATTACATATGTACTCTTTTGATACAGCCGTGGCGTCGGGTTAACGTCAATTGTGGTTAGTTGCCATGCGCTCAATTTGATTTATGTAGCAGTGTCCAGGGCCAGCATCCTCGCGAGCATCAGTGCTTCATATCAGCTTATGGTGTTGCTAACGGGCATGTTCCAGTTGGCATCATTGCGCAAGTGCAAACAACTGATTATATAAACATCTGCAACTCTTCAACATATGTTTGTGCATGCAACATTTGTACATATATTAGCGTAATTTTATGACGCGTTGCTCAATAAAAAAATTGCAACAAGATCACGTTCCCTCCGCATGCTTCGCATAACGTCGATTCTCAGGTATGTGGGATCTGCCAAATTTTTCATATTTGTGGCAAAATTAAGACTAGGTATTGCTGGAAAACCTAACCCTTGGTGCCGCAAGCTAGCCGGCGCAGCAAACGACGAGCACTGACTACTTGGAATAGTTCCAAGTTGCTTGCATTCCACTTTTTGTATGTTCTGTTAATTCCAAAACCCGCTTAATTCGAAGATTTATGGTGGCCCCAGTGACTTCGAAATAATTAGGTTTTACTGTATTGTGGGTTGTGCTTTTATTGTGTTATTTTTCAGTATCTGACACCGTTTGACACTAGTGTGTGGTTATTATGCAAGGATGGTAAACAGAGCAGATGGAAGGTACACATCAAGTGCAAACTGAAGGACACGACAGTCTAGGCTTAGCAAAGTGTAGGCTTGAAACTCTAGTTGCAATGTTATTGTAATCTTGGAGCATACATACTTGTGTCTACAAAAGTTTCTATCTTCCTTCATTCAGGAAAAAGTATGCAACTTTCACTACTTTTTTTCTCTCTGGAACATGATACTTTTTTTATTTTATTCTTATCTTTCATTTATTATAGCATGGACCTTGCACATTACAATTTTTCATAAGGGATGACTGAGAATACAGAGCTTAAGCAAGCAGAGCTGTCGTGGAGGTTAACATCTGATGGCAGGTTTCTCAAGTGGATAGCTGTTGCAAATAAGAAAAATGTTTAATGATATGTTAGCTTGGCATATGGGTATAAACAGCTTTATATGCTGATGTGGAAAGGTGTGATAAGATGCTTGACGGGAAAAGTGGAGGTAAAAACTTTACTGAACATGTGTGGTAGTATTGAGCCTGGTGGGCTACAAGCTCGCTGTCTAGGTTATGGCCTCGAGTTTTTGGACATGGGTAGCTGGATAATAATTTTCAACATTTTAAACATATTTTACAACTGTGCAGGTCTGCATCTGCTTTGATATTCTTTAGTATCGCAGTGATCTAAAAAAATAGCAAAGTCCTTCGTGGGCGTAATAACATCAGTTTTAGTTCTGCAAGATTTCAGTTACTGAACCTCACTAAATTGGGATAAGAAAATGAAGAAATAAAGGTTTTAGGAGTTATACTCTGCTATTGCCAGCAAGCATGTTTTTACCATTTTATTACACTTTGTTTCACTATATGTACCGTTATACACCATGTTACTTTTCACGATGTTGTTACTCATTATTTATGTTGTTATGCACAGGAGCTACCATTTGAGTTTGCAACTACGGGACCTCCTTCTGTGTATACTTATGATATATGTGTACCTTTGTTTGAGGTGAAATAAATTATTCCGATTCTGAACCCTATAATGTCGTGTTCCTGCTGAGCAGCCACTGATCTCTCCAGAGGGAGCTAGGCCAGAAGAAGGTGAGGTGTAATGATTCCGGGGCTTAGATTTGGGAACTCAGCGATGTGCATGAAGTTAGAAGTGCAATCAGGAATGGATGTGAATCAAAGTACTGTGGGGTGTCTTGCATTGGGCGATCACAGGAAGACAACAAACAAGGCTATAAAGAGCAGTATTGGATGGGCAAGTTTCGAGGTGAGGCAAGCTCGGAGCGAAATGTAGTTCTAAGAGAGGTGGAAGAAAATGAAAGATATAATATATATATATATATATATATATGTAGCAAAAAAAAGGGGGCAACGTGTTACACTCGTGTGGCCATCTTTGACCAGGTTGGACACAGCTTAGTTCACCGGTACCTAAGTGCCGGCTATCCAGAGGGCACCTCGAGGAGGTGTGTGTCCACAAGCAGCCAAAAAAACAAAACTTGTGCTGCCTCGTCATTCAGCCTGGTATGCTGGGCAGTGGCATAGAATGTGCTCAAGCGTTGTCTTCTCGCAGGTGCAAATGTTGCATGCCGTACTGCTCGCTTTCCAAGCAGACAAGAATGCGCATTCATAAATGCCACGCCCAATATCATGTGATGCAGCAAAGTTTCAGCGCGTCGTAGGAGCCCGGATGGAAAAGTTTGGGTTGATCGAATACAGGCGTGCGTTGGAGGAGCCCTGCATATTCTATTGTAGGAGAGAGCGTAAGCAAAATGGCAACAAAGGTTATTAAGCATAAAGGCAAGGAGGGTTTACTGGATGGCAGAAGTGGAGAAAAAAAACCAGCTCTGAATAACTACCAAAAGGGCAAAAATGAAACAAGGAAGGAGGCATTTAATAGTAATACAAGGGGAAGCACTTTACTGTTTGATGTAAGGTCGGGTTGCCTAAGTATGCATAGTTATAAAGCAAAATGCAGTAAAGAATAAGTAAAACATACCTGCTTTGGAAAAGCTAAGGAAAGGACGGAGCATGTTCTAATTGAATGTGTAGATATCTAACAAGGTGTACATTTGGGCATGGGCCTCCTTGAAGCCATGAGTTTCAGGGACAACAATAGAAAGCTGAACACTGCTGCAATAGAAATAAGTAGGAAATGGTGAAGGGGTTGGTTGCTGTAAACTAGAGAGAAAGAACAAAACAAATAATGAGAAAAATAAAGATATTCAGCTGTAAGAAGCAGAAAACTGGACTGTGAATTTGTTTTTGTTTTTTATAATAAGCTCAATTTAATTAACGTGAACTAGGTGTTATGCCAACATAAGAAAATCAGAAAAGTGTTCTTTCTTTTTGATGAATGGGCGAGGGGGGGGGATGGTGACATGTTACTGCACCATTATAAAGGGGATGCTCATAGCATCCATTTATGAGGCAATAGAAGATGTCAAAACAATCACTACAGAAAAGTTGGTGCACCCAGTCGAACACTTTAATTTTGCGCTCCCACCCCCCTCTTTGCGCTCCCACCCCCCTCTTTGGCGACTAGGGGGGCGCCCTCCCTCCTGCCCTCCTCGTGTTCACACCTGTGATATTTATGCATTATAGGACACAGCCAATGATGTTTGCGGGATTGCCAGAGCTGGCGCGATTGTCTTGTTTACGGCCTTGCTAACAGTGCCAAAAAAGGATATAATTATCCTGTTCATGAAAATGGTTCAAGTTCTATTGCTGCTTAAAAAAAGGGAACGGGAGTGGTGTAGCAGGCTCCGCCGATGGGCTTGACATTGTCTCTTGGCGCCTACTTTAGCTCAAAGAAGAAGAAAAAAAAAGGAAGTACTACAAGTTTCTGTGCTAGGTGCCCAAACGTTTTAGCACATAGCAACTAATACTTTTTACATTAACAAAAGGCAGCTTTTCCAATCTATAAGGTGCACTACAGTTTATTACATGAACCAACATTGAGAAGTTCGACTCATGGAGAAAGTATACATAATACTCTTCTTTTTTCGTAGCATGGAAACAAGAAACAAGTATTGCTGGAAACTCTAACTTATGGCCTCTCTAGTGACAAAATGCTCGTAAAATGTAGCACTGAAAATAGGGATAGACTTCCTTGTTTTCTCGTAAGTGAACATGCCCTATTCAGCACAAATAAAGTATGCACCAATTAAAGTCTTTTCTCATGCTTTATACACTTCCAGGCAGCACACAAGACATACCTGCTTATTGTTTTTTTGCATAGTGTGATGTTTTAAGGAAGAAATTCAGGTCTATAAAACAAACAGTAATTGTATCATTACCTTTTATACAGTACTCATGTAGTGGGAGTGTGCTAGAAATTTCTCTGAAATAAAATGAGTGGTATGATGGTGTTTGTATAGCACGTAATTATTGCTAAGAATGGATCAGAAAGTGAATTTTCAAGCAATACTTTTGGTCTTTCCTTTTGCAAAAATTTCATCAGCAAAAACAACTTTCTAAAGGTCTGATAAGCAAAAATAAAGTAGCATCAAGGTTTATAAATTGCCAGGTTCCTATACCTACACATACCAAAGTCATCATTATTATTGTGAATATGCTGGTACATCCAGTAGATGTTGTCACTTCATATTTTACAGTGTGCATTAAATTAATAAATCATGCCTGAAACTTCATGATGTGACAGATTTAGGTCATAAGACTGCAAGTGAGCACTGTGTAGAAGGCTTTCAGATGACATATGTGTTAGAAATATCCTCTAATGCAACAAACCACAACTGGCTCTTAATGATGCAACATATATTGGTCATAAAATAGAACCCCAGCACTGCATAGAATGCCTTTGAGCATTTTATGTAGTTGAAATGTGCTTCAACACAACAAACTGTGACTGACACTTGATTATGTGACAGATATTGGTCATAAGACTGCAAGCAAATTCTGCATGGAAGACTTCTGGACATTGTCTGTAGTGAAAATATTCTCTAAAGTGACAAACTGCATCCAACACTTTATGAAGTCGCAGATATCGGTCGATGATAAGATTGCAACTCAACCCTGTATTGTAGGGTTTTGCACATTGTCTGCAGCCGAAATGTTCTCTAATGCAACAAACCACACCTGACACTTCATTATGTGACAAATTTAGGTTATAAGACTGCAATTGAGCCCTGTGTAAAAGGCTTTTGGATGTTGTGTGTGTTACAAATATTTCCTAATGCAACAACCCACACCTGCTTTTAAAGGGACAATAAATTCAAATAACAATTTTTGTCACAGTGAAAGCTCAATACATGACAACATCTAAAACGACAAAAGACGAAGAAGTGACCAAGCAACCAGATGTGTTTCGAACATCTCTGTGATTTTGGTCCTTGGCGTGCCCTTGCTGGGAGTGAGACAATGATCGCTATCATGATAACTACTTCAAATAATGGTCCTGGATGCATAGGGCACAATGACCAGCCTACGCAAGATCCTACAACAGCTCAAGCGAGGATGGAAAGCAACCATGTCACCACCAGAGTGGTAGTTCCCAATGGACACCTGGGGAATAACGAGGACGTCGCCACAAATGCCACAAAGCACCGTAAGACAGACGAAGATATATCAGAAAGCACTGAGTCGTGTTTTGATGAAGACGAAGACCTACCAGATACTGACCCCTTCATCACCGTGAATTACAAGAAACAACAAAGGCAAGGCATACCTGTTATCTTTCGTTCTGTGCAAGACAGGTCATTTTGGCGTGTAAACCCAAATGTTTTGGCTACTGAGGTACTAGCCGTGACAAAGCAAACACTGTTAGAAGTTCAAATTACTAGAGAGAGGTGTTTTCGCTTTGGTTTCTTCTCTATAAGCAGCGAACTAATTACTGGCAATGACTACCTTAATGGGAATTGCTGTATAACTAAGGGTGCCTGCTTCTTACTCGAGAAATGTTGGTCGGATACAGAACGTTTCTTTGGAATACAGTGACTCAGAGCTGCTAGAATACCTGAAAGATGCAGGAGTCAGCTCAGTCAGTCTGCAATCATCAACAAAACAGACTGAGAACGGTCAAGTGGAGACTCGCTTCTACAAAAACGTTATTTTACACTTTCGATCAGACCGAGCAATGCCGGCAAGGGTGATGCTGGGCTTCACAAGTCATTCAGTGAGCGAGTTCTTTGGTGTTGTGCAATGTTTCAAATGCCAAAGACACGGACATTTTGCAAAATACTGCAGAGGACCACAAAGATGCAAGATGTATACAGGTTCTCACAGCCACAGGGACTGCACATCACGTCACAAACGTCGATGTGCTAACTGTGGTAGACCATACTCGTCTTCATTCAGAAAATGTCTAAAGAAAAAGGCAGCAGTGGACCAGAAGAAAGAAAATCTACAATATGGAACTGGAAAACGTCACCGACCAGCCCCTAATTTTGACATAGTGGAGAACACTAGGCCGAAACAGCGCCCCCGACAACGTCAGTAAAATGAGCTACATCGTGGAAAGAAACTATATGCCGATGCACTGAAAAATCCAAAGTCTCTTCAAGGCCCATCTCTATCAGAAGTACTAGTAGGTTCAAAGAAAAAAGTCTACAGAAGCGACAAAACGCCTGAAAGCCAGAGGTACCACAGCACTTCAAGAAGTTTCTTCAGGAGGTGTGCTCACAAGTGGCAACATTGGACAAATGCTGGTGCCAATGTTATTTGCCGCACTCAAGGTCATTATCAAAATGACACCAAGATCTACATTGTTACCAGAGGTTCAGGTTCTGCTTGCTATGGAACCACTTCCAGGACCCAATAATATATTGCTTCCACCTGTGCTGGTAAATTGAATAGTCGCATCAAAAATGTCACAATATTCCAATGGAATACTAATAGTCTGCAGGGGAAAGTGGGCGACTTCTGCAGGCTAGCTTACGAGCGAAAATTTCTCATTCTAGCCATATCAGAAGCCTGTGCAGATTCAAACTTTAGAATTTCAAACTATGTTGTGAACAGACCATGTCGCTCTAACAACAAACCTAGCCGAACAATTCTGTGTGTATGCAAAGAC